ATCTTTTGATTGGGACAAGATAGAATGGTCTAAATTCAGTCCTGAGGAGAGACACAGGTTTGATGTAGTTCAGTTGTTGTATTATGAATAAATTAAATACAGTAATTACTCAGATCATGAATAATAATTAGTAGTACCACAATCAATAATGTATGATTACATAAAACTTAAATCACACACAATTAGTTCAGACACAAAAATTTCCTAACCAGCCCATTAATTACCAGATACATGGTTTTAATTTGCTGGATATTGTAAAAAAAATTGACTGAAAATTGTAGTAAAAATAAGTCTAAGGACTAAAAGACTACAGCCATATCTTGACACATAACTAATGCAATGTATGAATTATTTTAAAATAATTTTCTCTATTTTTAAAGGTTACGTCACCGGATGATAGAGGAGAAGCACAGAGGTCATGACCTGATGCATGCTGAAATGATATTAATACTGTTTGCATCTATTGGGGTAGCACAAGTACTCCTCTTCTTATGGAGAATAAAACACAGGAAATCCTACCAGGTAGACACAGCATACATGTACATGTGTACAAGTAATAATATACTAATGATATACTAATAATATACAGTAATATACTAATGATATACTAATAATGTAAATTTTTGTGTTGGTTATAATAAGGTATAAATGACGTATAATAGTTAGTATATAAATGTACATTTTATATAAATTACTTCCTCCATAATTATTACTTATACTGTATTTCAGCAGCATAATATTGATAATTTTAATTTTTCTCCTCCTCCTCCCTTCTCTCTTAGGCCATTACCTTATTAGGCATGTGGATAATTCCATTTTATTTGTGTGTTCGGTTGAGTTTCTGGAGGATGATCATCGTATGGTCAATATTCTCTATTATTACATTATTTGTAATGTTTAAGGCTACTAGGAAGAAGCTTCATGTCAACACTCCAAGGTTAGTTCAATTATGACAATTTCTGTAAAATAATCCCTGTACTATAGCCCATGGTTTTTTCCAAAAAATGGCTCCAAAATCACCCCCAATTTTTATTACATTTTCTGATGCATATTGATGTACATATGCTGTGTAGAAAGTTTGAGCTGATTCCGACTTCAATTTTTAAAGTTACAGCCATATTAAAAAATGGGCCAAAATCTGAAAAAATCCCTGTACTATATATAGCCCATGGTTTTTTTGGAAAAATGGCTCCGAAATCACCCCCAATTTTTATTACATTTTCTGATACATATTGATGTCCTTATGCTGTGTAGAAAGTTTGAGCCGATTCCAACTTCAATTTTTCAAGTTACGGCCATTTTAAGAAAATGCCAAAATTTCCCAAAATCCCTGTACTATAGCCCATGGTTTTTTTCCAAAAAATGGCTCTGAAGTCACCCCCAATTTTTATTACATTTTTTGATACCATATTGATGTCCTTATGCTGTGAAGAAAGTTTGAGCCGATTCCAACTTCAATTTTTCAAG